CATTTGTATGAACTTCGATGATTTTGTGACAAAAAAAATGGTATTGTTGCGTCCTGAAATATTTGCGGCGATAGAGAAATATAAATTTTAATATCTTAGTTTTGTATGAAGGTCCAACACGCAATCAGATAAGAGAGAGGGTGCAACATTTATAAGAGATACCAAGATTTTTTACATGAAAATCCCCTGAAAAGAGGAATAAACCACGGGGCCTAGCCCAGTTTGAATGAATATATTAGTATTTGCAGTAGATTACAAATGATGCCCTTCATTAGCGGAAAGGCCTTGGCTTGATATTACAAATATACATCATACATAGTGTGTTACATGGTGGAAACAGGAAGAATCACTGTTGATGTGTTCATTTGGTCAGAAGGATTGTAGTTGGAGGGCAACAGAGGTCATGAAGACCATTGTCTGGTGACGTAGGTCGGAAGAACAATTGTCTGCAGACGACGGAGGTCGGAAGGACCATTATCTAGCGACAGAGGTTAGAAGGACCGTAGTCAATGGGTGACGGAGGTCGGAGGGACCGTTGTCGGCAAGCGACGGAGATCGGAAGGACCGTTGACAGGCATAAGTCCGATGTCGAGCAAAAATCCGACGTCGGGCAAAAGTCCGGCATCAAGTAGAAGTCTGACGAAAGTCCGACGACGAACATAAGTGTGATGCCCTAGGATCGATTTAGGGCATCACAAGAAGTCCAGTCATGGGTGGAAGTTCAGCGTCGGGTAGAAGTCCGACGAAAGTCCGACAACTAGTAAAAGTTTGACGAAAGTAGGACGACACATAGAAGTACGACGTAGGGAAGGACTTCGACGACAAGCAGAAGTCCGAAGATGGAAGGAAGTTCGATGTCATGTATAAATCCGACAAAAGTCCGATGACAAAAGGAAGTCTGGCATTGGGTAAAAATTTGGAAACATGCGAAAATCCGACGTCGGGTAGAAGTTCGACGAAAGTCCGGAGACAAGCAGAAGTCCAACAACGAGCGGAAGTTCGGGGTCAGGTAGAAATCCAGTGAAAGGAGGAAGTCTGACGAAGGTCCAGCGACAGGCAAAAATTCTGCGTCGGGTAGAAGTCCAACGAAAGTCCAGCGACGGGGAGAAGTCTGGTGACGGGGGGATGTCCAGCGTCGGGTAGAAATCCGACGAGGGTGGAAGTCTGGCGTCGGGTGGAAGTTCAGTGTCGGGTAGAAGTCCGACAAAAGTCAGGCGACGGGTAAAAGTTCGGGGACAGGCAGAAATACAGCGTCAGGTAGAAATTCGGCGTCAGTCAGGAGTCTGAAGATGGGTAGAAGTCTGGCGATGGAAAGAAATCCAACAACGGGTGAAAGTTCTACGACGGCTGAAAGTTCTACGAAAGTCCTGTGACAAGTAGAAGTCCAACAATGAGTGGAAGTTTGACATTGTGTAGAAGTCCGAAAAAAGTCTGGTGACAGGCAAAAGTCTAACAACGGGCGGAAGTCCAGCGTCAAATAAAAATCCAGTGACAGGCGAAAGTCTGGCGTCGGGTAGAAACCCAGCGACAGGCTGAAGTCTGGCGTCAGTTGGTGGCCGGGTAGAAATCCGACGTCAATTGGTTGTCGGGCAAAAATCCAATGTCTACCGGTAGCCGGACAAAAGTCCAGTGTCGGGTAGAAATCCAACGACGGGCGAAAGTCTGGTGTCGGGTAGAAATCCGATGACGGGCGGAAGTTTGGCATCGGTTCGTGGCCAGGAGGTGGTTGAGGAGTCTGGTGGCAAGAGAACTCTTCCTTCTCTTCTTGCTTGGGCTCCCTTCCTCCTTGTTTGGCACCCCTCTCATGAGAAATGAGGAGTATATTTATAGTTATCTGAGAGTAACATGACTAGTAAATAGAATTAAAATCAAGGGTAAATTGGGAGTGGTTTGAATGAACAACCGATGTTGAATCCCTCGATCATGGACCGTTTACTGGACATTTGAATGTTTTCATGATACAAGAATTTGATGATCTTGGGCTCGTTGGATTCGTTTCGTCGAGCTGCTCGATTCGACTATAAGCATGTCACGTTTGGAAACTGTTTAGTAATCCAAATTATGGATTGAACCTTCCAAATGCGCTTTGAGTCTTTGATTTAGACCCATTTGATCTCGGATTGGGTCAAATTTGATGTCGTTGTGTTCGTATTTTTGAGATGTTCAGTTAGACTGTAAGTTTGCTAAAATCGGAGTTGAGATGATCTCCGATTTAATTTTTGAAATTTCAAACTTAATTTTGCTTCGAGATTCATGCACCATCAACATAATTTTTTGATGATGTATCAAGTACCAACACAGTAAAGCTTAAGACCCATAAAAGTGTACTTGTGTGAGGAGTGGAAGGACTAAAGCTTAGCGACGCATTGCAGCCAGGAAAACTGTTATAGAGCTTTTGGCATGCTAATCATAAATAGTTTTCAAACAGAAGTAAAACCTTTTTCACAGCAATGGTAAAGGTCCTCTGGGACTTCTGGGTGACTCCTCAGTATGTTCATTAGGTTCTTCAACCTGTAACCTGCAGTATAAGAGAAACAAATAAATCTTATGCATAATAGTTACAACAAATGTGTGCGTCTCTCTCTCTCTCTCTCTCTCTCTCTCTCTCTCTCTCTCTCTATATATATATATATATATATATATATATATATACACACTCATATTAACACAAGAAATGTCTGTTTAGCTAGCTGTTCACATATATATATACTCAATAAACTTGTGTGACCTACAAATAGATGTTCATTTTTCAAAGCAACATCGGATCATAAAGAGTCAAGCATGTTCTTCCCATGGTCCATAAATATATGGAATCATTCAGCATTAAAACTACCTCGACAGGAGTGCAGTGTTGTAGGATATTGAACGACCTAATGCAGACACAAGGTAAAATCACCTTATTTCCCTTTCTTTGCAGTTATGGCCAAGTCATTGAAGAAGAGGATTCAAATGCAGTAAATCTCTAGTCCGACTTCAATTTCTTGTGAACCTTAGAAGATGAATTCTTATTGTTATTGCTGCTGCTATTTGCTGCAGTTTTCCTTGGAATGCTACGCTGCATGATGCGGATTGGGATTCCGCCTAAATTGAAATCTTCTTTTAAGGATTTTATCAGAAACCTTATATCAGTGTCTGAAAGCTGGGCTTTCCCAGTCAAAAAAGCAACAAATGTTGGTGGCCGAGCTTTAACCTGAGTGAAATATTTGATTTTGGGCTGAGTAGCTTGATCTTTCCATGAATGCCTGCTCATAACCTGGTGATTTGCGTTTAGCAAAATGGAAAATGACACTTTGTTAGAAGATAAGGCCTAAACACTTCATTTCCAGAAAAATAAAAGTGAAACAAAGCCGCAAAAGGTAAAATATTAGCATTTCTTTAAGGCATCATGCACTAGAGAAACATAAGCATGGGCGAGTGTGTTCTATAAAAAGAAGCTAAAGATTAAATCATATCATTTTAAAAAATAACTTAAGAAGGAAAAATAACGGAGGATAAAGACCAGTATGCCCAAACGGGAAGAATAAGATTAGTGATAGTATGATCATGAATTTAGAAAAGAAAAAAAATAATAATAATAAGAAACTCATGTTTTGTGTCAGTCTTTTCTAACATAGTTTGATTATATGTTAAATTTTACCCTAATTTTATGAGAACTCTAAAATCTAGTTCATGTTTCTAATAGACACAAGTTCTGAGGAGTAATTGCCCCTCTTGATGACACAAGAGAATTTTTATTAAGATTAGTCGATAGGAGCTACAATACACAGAATTTTCTTCTCTTCTTGTTGTTCATTTTTTTAAAGAAAATAAATTAGGTTAATTAAATAAATTAAACAAGAAAATATCTTTATTATACATTCAACAAATTTTTTTTTGCCATGCAGTTATAATGGTTTTTACCCTAAAAACAAATCATTTGTGCATCTAAATCTACTCATCATTCACATGTGTTGAATTTCACGCTTGTTGCTCGGACATGAAGGCAAACATTCAGTTTCCTCTTACAAATTTTCATTTCTCATGCATGTTAATTTCGCTTTCATCTTTGCAAATTTTAACAGCTTGTGCGAATTTTTGTCCTTATCTCCCATGCAAGTAAATTTTACATATTTCTTTAGTGCGGTGAACCAAACAATATGGGGGTATATTTTGAGTATTTTTGACACTCTAGATGTGCCAATATAGCTTGTTTTGTGAGACAAGCTACATTTGAGTGATTTTTTATATGTTCGAGGCATTTGACCCTAGGCTTTTAACATAATATATGACTTTATCATGCTTAGCTATAATAGCTAATTGGGCCAACAAGAACTAATAACAATCTAAGGCTTTGTGCTTGGTGAATTGTGCTTTGATTGTACTTAGTACCTGTTGACATATCTGACCTCTTCTCTTATATTTTCATTATGTAGACAATGTTTAAATGAAGGAGCCCACATGCATGTCATGTAGTGACCCCATTGAAGAAGCAATTTGGTCCATCATATATAGGCATGATCCTCGAGGGTTACTGAGATTGATGGTAGGCTCGAGCAACATGAAAAGATGCTTCAAGCTTGTGAGCTCGATCCCTCAATTTAAAGAGAGCCTGCAGAGTAATTGACTATTATCAAATTAAAATATGGAGAATTCAACCCACTTGAGAGCATTGTCGATTAAGTGAGCTATGGGATGTGCAATATCTTGGAACTAGTTGATGATATTATGGAGTAAACCAGACATTTGAGATTATTTAACCATTGCTAACTACAATCTAGCTCACTAGAATGATCATAGGACACTCTATTTGAACAACTTTCTAATTCCACACATGGTTATATCATGGGCTTTATATATATTATAAGAACACAAGAATACTTAGAGAGAGACAAATGTTTATAAAGTTGTGTATGCATATGTTCAGTTTTTAAGGCATCTCTCTCTCATCGATCAGAGGCATGGTCAAGTTATAGAATCCTGCCACAAACACTTGTTGGATGCGCTCAAAGGAAATGAGTGTTATATTATGAGAACTGCAGGTAGCATCTAGATTGTCAATGTTCCGTCGTTCTACGAGGAATGTAACCCTCCAGATAAGGTGTCATTCCATAGGCAATCTTTAGTTAATAAAAGTGAATGAAAGGCGTTGGTTTTGCCAATAGTCTTCCCATAAATTCTAGGGCATCATCAGCATGTCTATAGAACGACGGGGCTATTGATCTGTTTCCCACTAGAGATCTGGATTCACAACTTATTCTAGAAAGATAGTAT